AAAAAGATTAATAATTTATGTAAACATTTAGGTTTATGTATTAGAACTTAATATCTTAATTTAATAAAAGTTTAAAACGTGTTTTTGTTAAATATTTTTTCTATAAACGAGTTTAGTATCTTAATTTAATAAGTTTAATTTATATAGAAAATTAGCAAAANTTATTTATATCAAACCCACAGTCATAAGTTTTTTTAATTATAAATCCATGTTTTTATGCATAAATCAAAATCTTATTGTCCACACTAGACGCATACAAACCCTTAATTTGGTAAATGTATAAATTGTTTGAATTATTTTACGTGTATTTGAAATGGTTTATGCTTATGTAATAAGTAAAGTGTATATTTATAGAGGTTTATTAGAATTTGATAATTTTCTTTGAATTTTATATTTGAATTTCAATCTTCTAGGTGAAGGCTATCTTTTATTTTCTTTACAAATCATTATCTACAAATAAAGGCTATCTTTTAATCCAGTTCCAATATTTGATTACACAGTGTAATTTACATTAGAGATGGCTCGATCCATATAATCCGGTTCTTGTTATTAGATTACATGTTACAAAAATGTATTATATATATAGATCTACTGTTTGGTTCTAATCTGTGATCTAAATTATATTTTTCTACTGTTTTAATTGTGTTTAAGGCTTTACAAACATGTTCACTATCATACAATAATTATCAAATCGTCAACGGACTCTTGATAAGGAGGTTACTAATTGCACAATTGTAACCAATCGAATTGCAACCTTTTTTTTTTTGAGCAAAAAACAAATTGCAACTTGAACCTTGTACTAATAATTGATCGTTCATAATATGCTGATAGACGGCCCTGCGAAGTTTAAAATAGCTAATTAGCTCAGTGCCATCGTTGCACGACCCTACAAAAACATAAAGACGATTAGTTGATAAGTCACATAAAGACGATTTTATTGACGTGCATTTTTGGTCATTGTTTTAATATGCCTCGTGTAACACGAAGTTATAAATTATTATTTCTACTAATGCGTATATTATATTCCATGAGGTCAATATAAATACCTACAATTCCCTTCAATTGATCATAGCACCGATCACAATCTACTCTCTCTTTCAAGGTCATCTCTCTTTCCCTCTCTATTTGTAGATCTTAGTTTGTAGTTAAAACTAACAATTTATTTTTTAGTAATTTGTAAGATTTATAAAAAAGCAAACAAAGATGGCCCAAAAGGTGGAAGCACAAGGAGAGAAAGGAGGCAACCAATGGGACGATGGTTCTGTACATGACGCTGTGACCAAGATTCAGGTCGGAGCAGGTGGAACCGGCATTCAATACGTTCAGTTCAGTTATTTCAAGAACGGACAAACCGAAGAAGCCCCTCTTCGCGGTATCAAAGGCCGTAGTATCCCAGCTGATCCGGTA